GCGGGGGCAGGAGGAGGAGGATGTGAGCAGAGAGAGGAGAGAGGAGGAGGAGGTTGGGAGTTGGGAATGAGGGAAGGATGGAGGGAGGCGTACGAGGAGGAGAGGGATGAGACGGAGGGAGGATGAGGAGGAGGAGGAGAGGAGGCAGAGGAGGAGGAAGCAGAGGATGAGCTGATGTTAGGAGGAGGATGTAGGAGGAGGAGGAGGAGGGAGGAGGAGGAGAGGAGGAGCAGGAGCCGAGGAGTGAGAGGCGGGAGAGGAAGGACAAGTGGAGGAGGAGGATGAGGAGGAGGAGGACGGGGCCGAGTGATTGAGGAGGATGAGGAGGAGGTAGGAGGAGCGTTGAGAGGAGGAGGAGGAGAGGAGGAGGAGGAGGAGGAGGAGGATAATGATGAGCAGGAGCAGGAACACGAGCAGGAGCAGGAGCAGGGACAGGAGCAGGAGGAGGAGGAGCAGAACGAGGAGAATGGGGAGGAAGAGGAAGAGGAGGAGGATGTGGAGGAAGAGTATGGAGGACGATGAGGAAGAGGAGGAAGAGGAGGAGGAGGAGGGAGAGGAGGAAGCGAAGGATACCATGAAGGCAGAGAAGGGACGGCTTCTGCGGGACTCTCTTGGGACATTTTGTAATCCTCTTGGTGAGCTCTTGGCCTCTTGGGCCTCTTGGAGTCCTTTTGGGCCTGTTGGGCGTCGCTTCGGCTGTCTTAGGTGCCTCTTGGCCCGTCTGACGCCTTCGGATGCCGTCTTGGTGGCCTCGCTGCGCTGTCTTGGTGAGCTCTTGGAGCCCTTTGTGGCTCTCTTGGGGGGCTCTTGGGCGAGGTTGGGGTCTGCTTGGCCCACCAGGGGCCCTCTTTGAGGCCGCATCGGCTAGTTGGAACTATATTGGAGGTCTCTTGGGTCGCCTTGGGCTGTCGGAAACCTAGACAGGTGAGAACCTCAAACCCCTTCAACCACCTACGGACACTCAGTGTTGTTTGCTTCCTCGGGCTCTTCTGGAGGCCCCCTTGGAGACCTCGCGGGCCGTCTTGGAAGCCTCTCGAGCCGTCTTGAGGCCGTTTCGGAGTCTCCAGTGCCGTCTTGGCCCATCTTGGATCGTCTAGGCGTCATCTTGGCTGTCTTGTAAGCCATCTTTAGAGCCTCTTGAGCCGACTGGAGGCCGAGAGTATCGCTGGAATGCAAATGCAGGGGGGTCGGTCTTTGAACGAAGCGCGCTACTAGGGGGTGGTGGTGGCCCTAGAAAGCATTTGAAACGCCTTCCAGACAATACACGAGCATGCTGACACGCCCGCTACGTGCAGACACGGTGGCGGATAACGCCGATGATGGGGTATTTGTGAGGTAGCCACAGTTATCACATGTTCTATGCTTGTGATGATGAGCATCGTGTGCGGGGCGTACTCTACACGGGCGCCACGTCAGTTGTTGCAGCCCTCTGGCAACGTTTTCTGTCCAACAGAGGGGGCATCTTATTAGAAGATGTGTCCCCTGTCCGCGAGGTTTCACTATTGCATCACCTCAGCCACGAAGACTCGCGCCTCATAAGGAGGCGGAGTGGTCCAGGATTGAATGATTGCTTTGTTTTTGTTCAGCAGCCCCTTCGATCATCGACTGAGATCTTTTAGTGGAGAGCCATTGGAAACGGCGGTGGATGAGACAGAAGATGACGCGAGGAGAAAAGAAGGAGGGCGAGGTTGATGCGGAAGAGGAGGATGATGATGCTGATGATGAGGAGGAGGATGAGGAGGAGGAGGAGGAGGAGGAGGCGGAGCGAGTAGAACGACGACGACCACCCCAGTAGTGGCGGCTGCGGCGACGACGACGACGAACGACGACGCACAAACGACGACGGGTGATGGCGGGCTGGCCGACTCTGACGCCGATTTCGACACCCACGCCGCCGACGCCGACGCCGACGCCGACGAGACGAACACGTTGCTGGCGCCGACGCCCAGGACGCCGCCGACGACGACGATGATGATAATGATGATGATGAAGAAGAAGACGAATCTGATGATTATGATGCTGAGGTTGATGCTGATGCTGATGTCGATGTCGATGCTGATGCTGCTTTTGATGATGATGCTGATGATGCTGCTGATGCTGATTATGATGACGCTGATGATGCTGATGATAATGATGCTGCTGATGCTGATGATGCTTATTTTGTTGATGACGCTGCTGATGCTGATGATGCTGATGCTGATGATGATGGTGGTGGTGATGTTGATGCTGATGATGCTGATGATGATGCTGATGATGATGGTGATGAAGAGGAGGATTATGATCATGATGCTGATGATGATGCTGCTGAGGCTGATGATGCTGATAATGCTGACGACGGTGACGATGATGCTGATGATGCTGATGACGATGATGCTGATGATGCTGATGCTGTTGATGACGATGATGATGCTGCTGATGATGCTGATGCTGACGACGATGATGATGACGATGATGATGATGACGATGCTGATGATGACGATGATGCTGATGATGATGATGATGATGATGAGGATGATGATTCTCCAAATTGGCTTGCACTACAGGGGTCCTAGCTCATGATAAGTGATTGGTCTTTAGCCCCC